ACCTGGGAGGCAGCAGGGAATGCAGTTCAGTTGTGCTAGCAATAGTTTGACCTCTGGCTAAAAAGCAACGCCCCCAAATACTAAGCTGGGAGCAGTTCCAGTGCTGAGCTAGGCAGGCCTTTTGTCTGTGGAAATATGAAGATACTAGAAATAATGCCCGTTGCAGAAATAAATACAACGGGATCTAGAAAGAGGCTCTGGGAGAGTGCTCTGGCTTTGGGCAAACAGTTTCAGTTTCCTGTGGCGACCTCAGCAGGGTTTAATGACAGAGTTCACTGTTTTCTCCAGAGGGACTGATCTCTGCTACCTGAAGAGCATTTGTATGTTTGAGTTATCTGTAGCCCTCACCTGGAGAGTGGTAACCATTGTTACCCATTCTCCTCTCCCCTATGAGGTATGTTATGCAACTGAAAATCCCAACTGCCTTGCGGGTGGGGGGGGGGGAGTTTGAGGTGTGGAATGGACTGAAGTCCAATCAGCTTCCATATGCAAAAGACCAGGTTGTCGCAGCAGTTGTGGTGTGGGCGGGACCGGGCTTTGCCTTCTGATTGGTGGCGATATATGCTGAGGAGCAGTGCCATCAGCCATACACTAAGGGAGTGCATTTTAGAATTAGAACTTTGGCACCCACTATTCAATTATATATAAGGAGAGATTTGAGGGAATAAAAACTATTGAAAGTCACCCCCTTAATCCCCACCTAACACTTGTACACACATTTCCCTTGCCCACAGGGATTGTATTTATTCTGAGAGTTAAAATGGAACTCCCCTTCAGTGTGGCAGAAATCCTGTTTGGTTTGGAACCATGAAGGCCCAGGAGGAAAATCTCTTTTGCTTTCCTAGTAGACTACTGGGTAATCAGAGATGAAGTAATAACTTGGCTGCTTATAATTCAGTGGAAAAAATTATTTCCACTTGCTTTATAATGTCATGCTGGCTCTGCTCTTTCATGAATAAATGGCACCCCAGGATTCTGGAAACCAAGGGAAGGCTTTCTGACCCTTTTACATTGCATTAGTTCTGACATTTTTTCCCCTCGTTTAGGAGAGAAAGAAACAATTAGCTTTATCTCCAGGCAGCTCTTTTATGTATAAATGGTATTCCTTTGTCTCCCACTGAGTTAGCCTTCTGGCATTTCAGCTCTGCTGTGAGTCATATTTTTCTTTTTTTCCTTTTTGGTGGGCCCACTTAGCTGTAGTGACTCATTCACTGCAAAGGCAAACAAAACAAACCAATCCCAAGTCTTTCTTCTTCCTTTTTTTCCCTTTCTTTAACTGAAGTCAGCAGTTAGCCTTTTAACTTATTTGGTCATTAGTCTGACCTCTTTGCCAGATACACAAAACCAGCAGTAGGTAAAGCAGAAAAAATGTACAATGGTGGGGAGTATGACAGTCAACATATGACTGCTTTTGGTGCAGTAAATCCTTTGACAAATCTAGAGAGACATCTTAAATGCTTCCCTGTATGCCCAGAAAGAATCCTGTATCTGCACTCTGTCATGCACCAAGCAAGAGAGAAGTTCTCTCCCTTGGATTTTCCCCCAGAGAAATGAAAATTTTATTCAGCTTTCCTTGCATCTTCTGCTTAGACCATTCTTTTTCTTTTTTCTTTATGGTAGAAATGCAAGTTGTTTCCCCTTGTCTTTAGTGATCTGCTTTTTACAAGTATTTGATGCAGTAAATCCTTTCTACATCAGCATGGTGTAGCAGTGGTTAAGGTGTCAGACTAGGATCTGGAAATCCAGATTCAAATCCTCATGTGCCATTGTAGCTTGCTGGGTGACCTTGGGCCAGTCACACTCTATATTTAATCATCATGTATTAAGAAGAAGCTTAAATAAGGTCTGGAATGAGATAAAAGAAAAATTTTATAAGAAAACTGCTAGATGGGTAGCTCCACTAGAGGCCTTTGTAATGCCCTCACTTTTAGTAAAAGAGAAAATGGCCAGTTATAATATATTATTGGAAAAGAATAACATATTAAAAACAGAAGAGAAACTGAGAAAGGAAAATCAAATTATTTTAACATGGTGGGAACGCACCCTTTTGCAGGATAGATATGGTAGAGATAGAACAAGGGGTTTTGAAGATATGAATAATCAGCTGGATAAAATATGGCTGTCATCTAGCGATAAATTAGTCCAAAAATTGTATAGGTTCTTGTTAGAAGAATATGAGCTGGATGAAAATGTTAAAGCGGTCATGATATCTTGGATGCAAGATATGGGTAAACAGATAGAAGATGATCAATGGAACTCTGTATGGTCTTCGATTAAGTTCATGAGAGCTATTGCGTATAAAGAAAACATCTACAAAATGTACCACAGATGGTACTGGTCCCCAGATAAAATTGCAAGATGTTACCCTCAAGCATCCAATAGGTGCTGGAAATGCAAAAAAACCGTGGGGACTTTCTACCATATGTGGTGGGAGTGTTGTAAAATACGTAAGTTCTGGAAAATGGTGCAAAATATCATTTGTGAAATACTGAATATAGCGATTGAATTCTCCCCCGAAATATATTTACTGAATATAATCCCAAGAGGATACAAAAAACATGATAGTAACTGCGGCCCGTATTTTAGTGGCAAGAAATTGGAAATTAGAAACAATGCCCACGAAAGAAGATTTAAAAATTAAACTTATGGAATTAGCGCAAATGGACAATTTGAGTTTAATATTACAAAATAAAGACCCAAAATGTCAAGAACAAAGGTGGTTAAGGGTATATGAATGGTTAGATCGTCAAACAGATTAAGAATGTCATAATGTGTTTCTATATAATGTAAATAGACGAAAAAATGAACTATCAACTCTAATGATATGTATAATTTAATATGACGAAGTACATAATGTTGTGAAAAAACTTGTATAAATAAAAATCTTTAAAAAAAATTTAAAAAAAACACACCTTATCTACCTCACAGGGTTGTTGTGAGAATAAAATGGAGGAGAGGAGAATGATGTAAACTGCTTTGGGGTCCCGATTGGGGTGAAAAACAGGATATAAATAAACATTTTTTAAAAAACACATGTAGTTAAAAGTATTAAATACACAAATGTCCATTAGTTTATTTTTATGTTAGGATTCTTACAAAACACATTGGTAGCTCCAGTTAGCATTTGTTCTTTTTATAGTTATGCAGAAATTACAGGGTAAAAGAAGGGGAAACGGTTTAGAAAAATCACTTTCTGCTTCCACTGTAATAAAAGATAAGGGTATCTGGTATTGCTCTTGTTTTAGGGTAGCAGTTACACAAATGTAGCTTCAGAAGTGGTGAACCAACATGCTAAGATTCTGAACTTATGGAGGCTTCACACATTGCAATTGCAGTTGGAAAACACCAGTACTGAAATGGGTGTTTCCTGTAGCAAATATATATGGTGCGGATGTCATGCAAGATTGTACATCTGTTTTAAACACTGGTGACGTGCTTCTGTTAGCTGTCAGAACAAATCCTAAACTTGTGGTGAACTTCTGTAATTGTCAGTCTTATTTGTTCAGATGGGGCTTATCCATCATGACTAGGGCGGTAACCATAGCTTTCAGGAAGAATGTGACTTAGGTGAGAAAACAGTAGGCAAATTAGCAGCGGTCTTCAAGTTCACATTTCCTTTCCTACATGCTCATTGGTGCTCAGCAAATTTGTTGCCTATGTTCTAAGCAATGCAGGATAATAATAATTATTTAATTTATTTCATTTATAGCTCAATTCCATTTTTTGATTGGTTTTTGGAAGGCTCATTGTGGTGAACAATGACACCTATATTATATGTCACAGGTAGACATAAACTAAGATAGCATTGCTAAATATAGGCCAGCACAGAACAAAGTTTGAGTCCAGTAGAACCTTTAAGACTAACAAAGTTTAATCCTGGGTATAAGCTTTCGTGTGCATGCATACTTCCTCAGATTCATTGAAATAAGACTTCCTCAACCATTACATATTTTTTGGGGGGGTCGTTGTCAGGATAGGCTAATTAGAGTTAAGATGCATAAGTAACTGAGCTATAAGTATAGCTAAGATTGGTTTAAATCAGTTGGTAAGACCTATGAACAACAGCAAATTAGCGTATAGATAATAAGAGAGTTAACAAACAAATGTGAGAACTAAGCTTGAGTCCAATAGCACCATTAAGACTAACGAAGTTTAATTCTGGGTATAAGCGAGAACTGAGTGACTTAGCATGTGTAGTAAGATAAGATCCCAATATCTCTGTTGAGCCCTGGGGATTCCATTGTCCTGAGTGTTGTAATAACTTGTAATTCAGCAATCTCACATCTGTTGCTTCTGACCAGCATGGCTACTTACCTGTATCTAGGCCAGCACAGTTTTGCTTCTCCTTTTTGCTTTCAAGATACAAGTGTTGGGGAAGCAAGTATTCTTCGTGTTTGAAGTATATTTGCAGTGATGGTGGTTGCAAATATGTTTTTCTATATATGTTAACAAGATAAAGCAAGAGGGGTTAGGGGAACAGAAAGGTGGGGAAAAGAAGAGAAAGCAGATGGACACTGTTATTAATCTCAACTAAAATATCAATGGTAGACCTCAGACTTTATATTACAGAACACTTTTGAAGACCTAATGCATGGTCATTGCTTTTTCATAGATGTAGGATGTAGATAAGGGTAATCTACCTGGCTGACTAACCATCAGTTGTCACAAGAGCTGTTGAGATCTACAGTAACTAAACATATGAAAGTGTGTATGAACTTGTGTATGAACATTCATGGGGGATAGCCTTAGGTCCCCATACTTGAACAGTCCTATGGCTCCCTAATCTACATAACTTTACACATACAGATTTCTAAGGACTGGCCAAATTCGATTTTATGACAGATGTCTTCCATGTTTTGTTTGCCGACCCATGAATTTGAGGATGCTTTACAATCAAATAAAACTGATGTCTAATCTGGCTTTTCAAGCTTTTGATATGATTGTGAAATTGGCAAATATGGTAGTAATGTGAAAATATGTGATTTCTCTTGTTTTTTCAGACAATTTATTTGGACAGTGATGTTTCTTCCTTTGTTCAAATCAGAGGCTCAGTTCCATTGTTCTGGGAGCAACCAGGACTTCAGGTAAATAATATAAATTACTAAGAGGTCTTATTTGGTGTGCTTTCACTTGTCAGTGTTTATTAATAATTTTTTTCCTGAGTAACACATATGGGCACTAGTGTGGTTGCAAAATAATAATAAATGAATACTTTGCATGAAAAAGGGAGACCTCTAGTGATCCATGTTAAAGTATTACTTCCATTTTTTTTTTATTATGTACTTAGGTTGGTTCCCATCACCTGAAACTCACAAGAGGGCTGGAAGCAAATGCCCCTGCTTTTGACAAGTAGGTTTAATGGCCGTGTTGCTGATTACTCAGCAAAATTTTTAAAACCCCGAGAAACTAATGGGAGAGTGGGTAGAAGAACTTTCTTCTTTCAAGTGCATGGCACGGTATTGATGTGAGGAGGGTATCTTGCAGTGGTGCTGTTAGGGTATACTCAGTCTCAAAAAAATAAACAGAAAATTCATAAAATACCGCAGAATGTCTCAGGAATGGGGAAAGGAGCTGAGTTGCAGTTGACTAATGATGTTGTAGGTACTGTCCAATAGGTGCCCAGCTGTTTGCACAATCACATTTCATGTAGCATTTGCAAGACCAGTAAATATATCAGCTGAGGGATGAATAATTTTTTTCCAGAAAACAAAACAAAAAATCCCAAATCATAATTGGAGTTCCTGGAAAATGTATTTATTGTACATACCAATGAGTCTTGTTCAGGCTTATTACACACTGTTATTTGCGTTCAGTCACTCAACTTCTCAGGGAATAGTTAAAGCAGAGAAATGCTATAAGGCTGTAGTCAAGAGGCTGATGTTGGGGTATTGAAGTAGCTGAAGATCCCACAGGCAGAGCAACTCTTAGATTGCAGAACATTGGCTGTTCTAAGAGTTTCCCCTTACCTGGATAGCCCAGGCTAGCCCAGTCTCATATCCTGGAAGCTAAGCAGGTTTGGCACTGGTTAGTGTTTGGGAGACCACTAAGTAAGTCCAGGGTTGCTATGCAGAGGCAAGCAATGGCAAACCACCTTGTAAGTTTCTTGCTGGAAGTCAAGTGTGACTGGGTGGTACTTTACACCACCACCAAGAGTATTTTAGAAAGAGGTGTTCATGGGTTTTTTACAAGGCAACTACCAACCTTTATTGCATGCATTTGGGGGGGGGGGAGAGTTCTAGTTTGTATCTAACATTAATTAAACCAAAGCATCCTGTTGCTGTTTTTGCAGGCATATGATGCTTCTGAAGGAACAGTATGGCAAACAAGTGATTGTTAATCTGTTACGAAGCAAAGGAGGAGAGGAGGTCCTCAACAGGGCTTTCAAGGTAAAAACAAAGAGCAGTCATCATTTTTGCTGAGTTCCTCTGTGCTCATGGGCCAGCTTCTCATGAAAGGAACAAATCTTTTCATATCAGCTTACAGATTTGATAATGTAATCATGCTTCCTCTAATTAGGATTCTTAAGAGACTGTGAAATTTTGTACAAATAAACTCTAGTCCTCTAGACTTGCGGGAGTAGCCTGTTCTTGTCCCATCTTCACAATGTCCCCGCAGTGTCAGCCATAAATGCCAATATGAGTAAAATACCATTTCCTAAGGAAGAATCATTCTGTTCGTAAAAGAGTAGTAGAGGTAGTTGGACTATACTTCATGTATTTTAAAACTTTTTAAAAACAAATCAGCAGTGTGCTTTTGAATTTCTGTCCTTATTGGCCACAGAAGTAAGAATTTTAGATTTGTTTCCCATTAAATCTTTTCGCAATTCCTTTGTAAAGTTAACAAGCCAAACAGCTGCAGAATTGGTAGAATGCTTTGAACAGTGTTCAGTACTGAGACAGTGGTGGTTTAGTGTGATGCTCTCATCAAGTATGCTACCAAGTGCAGCTGTCTGTAAACAGACACTGAAACGTGGGCAGTTACCAAAGGAATGGATCTGACAGCAGTAATGTAGCTGGAAAGTGTGCCTCTTACCCGTTTACTTACAGCCCTACATAGTCCTCGCTAGTGTCTGTTTGTTTGCATTTATTTTGAAACTTGGCCATTTGAACTTTGAAACGAGCCTGACAATAGCTGCAGCAAGCTTTAATTGTTCCTCTTCAAAGGTTTCTTTACATGATTCATCTTGCTATGCCAATTCATCACCTTACAGGAATGATCTGCTTCCACTTACACTCGTTCTTGACTGGGCTCACGTTGTAATCATTCTCTGTTTGGGGAAGCAGGGTTAGGGAGAGAGATTAAAGAGATTACATGTACAACAGATCTACTTTCAATTGACTTCAGGTTGGCCACATTTAATCATAAATGTTTTGCTAGCAATTAATTGCATGTTGCCACAAATGTTTTTTTCAGATGAAATATGTAATGCAAGAGGATTTTTTTCTTTCTTTTCTTCTTTGCAATTAGAAGTTGCTATGGGCATCCTCCCATGCAGCAGACACACCTATGATTAATTTTGATTGCCATCAGTTTGCAAAAGGTGGGAAAGCAGAGAAGCTGGAGAATTTGCTGGGGCCCCAGCTAAAGTTGCACTGGGAGGAAATGGGTGTCTTCACAAATAGAGAGAACACAGCTCACCGGTGAGTGTGCTAGTCCCTTCTGGTCGTACTTGTGCTTTGTCTCCCTGCATAAAGTTTCTTACGTTCCAACCAGAGTGGTGGATCATGGTTGTTCTGGCTTGCTTGCAAACCATTCAGTACTCTGAGGATGTTTGAGATGGGAAATGTTCACTTTTACATGTCGGATAATTAATTCAAAACAATCAATATTATAAGAGTAGACAGTGTATTATACTTGAAGTCAGAAGACCTTATTTAGATAGGCTGAACTTTAAACTCATTCAGTGGTCATAGGTAAGTCTTTATCCACCTTGCCCAAATGGTAGAAAATGACTATCTGTGTGTGTGTGTGTGTCTGTGTGTCTGTGTGTGTTAGATTATTATGTACTCTAGTAATTGCTGTAGCACTTTTGCAGCCTGATCCTGTGTGTGTTCAGTGTAAGTCACTCTGACTTTAATGGGACCCTTTCTCAAGTAAGGATGCACAGGATTGGCTAACAGCTGGGTTACTGAGGCTGAGAAATAGTTTATGAAAGACAACTGAGTGAGTAGAAGTCTGAGTAGGTTTGTTAGAAGGCTAATAGAGTAAACATCATAAACCACTTTGTTGCATATTAAAAAGAATTATAGACATTGGCCCTAATCCTACTGCAGGCAGCTAATTGTATAACATATGGTGGTACTGGATGAGAACACACACTCCATTGCCGGTTCAGTGTTCAGCGGGGGAAAGATGCATATACACATTGCATATGCACAAGCAGAAGGCTGGTTCTATGTGTCTGTTTCTGTCGCTGAGCTGAGCTGAGCTGGGCTGGGCTGGACAATCCAGCCTCTACATATTTATGTCTCTGCCTCTTTTATTTATTTATTTATTTATTTAAAAAAGACTGAACAGACAAGTTAAAAAATTACTTCATTTATGGGGTGATTTTTGATACTTTGTGCTTCTGTTTCTTTGATTTGAATTTTGAAGACTGCAGATGGGTACCTTGCGAACGAATTGTCTGGATTGCCTAGATCGAACAAATGTGGTTCAGTCCTTCATAGCACTTCAGGTGAGTGATCCATTTGACATTGTGCATGAACACCTTTTCATCACACCACATGTTAGGGGTATCATGAGAAAAGGCCAAATCCTGAGCTCATTACTTAGATCAAAATGTCTACATTAGTAACTAGCAACAAGCCTTAAATGGGGGTCTTTTCCTCCTTTTTTTCTTTCTCATTCTAATCCAGGTTCTGCTCACTCAGCTCGAGAGTTTGGGATTGAATTCCAAACCTATAGTTGAACGTTTTGCAGAATCTTATAAGGCACTGTGGACCCTTAATGGACACAACCTCAGTAGGGTTTTTACAGGTAGCCGTGCCTTGGAAGGAAAAGCTAAGGTAAAGGAGAATTTGAGACCCAATTATTTTCTGGAAGTTGTTTAAGTGAATGAAACTTGTAGTGTTAATCCTTTCCTTATACAGGTGGGGAAACTCAAGGATGGTGCTCGTTCAGTGTCACGGACTATCCAGTCAAATTTTTTTGATGGTGTAAAACAGGAAGCCATAGACTTACTGCTTACGGGTGATTTTTGCAATGATGAGTGTGCAGATAAAGAGAGGATGCTCATGGATAACAGTGCATCGTTGGGTAAGCAAGATGCAGAAATGTCTGCATGCTGATAGTCCCAGAAGGATCTTTTTGCAAAACACTTTTAAGGGCAGTATTAAAAAACACACACACAATCTGAATATGTTTTGATTTCTGTGCAGAATGTCTGATGTTTGTGTCTGTGGAGTCATGTGGCCTTTATAGGAAAAAATTCTTGAGGTTTACAGTCAAAGTGCTTACACCCCTATCCTTGTAAGTGGAGTTTTGGTAGCCATTATTTTGCAGGCTTAGTAAGCATCTTACTACTTGTTTCTTGCCTGTCTGTCATGAGCAGCACAGTAAATTAATGGAGTTACAGCACTATTTTGCCTACCTGTGCTGCCCTCCTGGCTATGAAACTCATGGGTAGAACTGGACAATATGAAAAACATATGGATGCCACTTAAAGCAGAAGGCTGACCTCACTTTCTCCCTGACCTCTCTTTCTCCCTACCCCTGACATCAGTGGACTTAGATGGGTTTAACTCTGCTTGGGATGGCACTGCATTATCATTATTAATGTATTTTAGTGTATTTATTGTTCTAGTGTTTTAAATATCGTTAGCCGCCTTGAGCCAGTCCTGTGGCTAGGTGGGATACAAATCGAAATAATAAATAAACTAAAAGAATGTGCAACATCAAATTGTGATGTTGAAAGTTTCCACCCCCATTTCACTGACTAGTGACTCAGTGAAATGGAATACAAGCAGGACAGCTATCAAGTGATATTGCATCACACGTTTTGTCTGGGGCAGTATTCTTAGCAAAATGAACTGGGGTGGCATTCTCACATGTGTGACATTTCCTCCAATGCTGGCCACCGCTTTTCATATATGCCTGCTTATGAATTGTGACCAGGGAGGGGAGATATTTGAGCATGAGTTGCAGTATAGTCTGAATTATTTTTCCCTTGTTTAGACACAGGAGAAAGGATTTAATGGACATGATAATGATCTGGGGTCCACACACATGATTTATGTTGGCTCTTTTATTTCATGGCAGAAAAAACCCCTCCACCTTTTTTCCCTTCTGTCCCTCAGTGACACCCTGCGTTTTGAAAGCCATGTCAGAGCGTCAGTTTGACTTCACAAACTTCAAGAGAATTCGTGTTGCTATGGGGACATGGAATGTAAATGGAGGCAAACAATTTAAGAGCAATATCCTTGGTACAAGTGAATTAACAGATTGGTTACTGGATTCCCCTAAGCTCTCTGGGGTTTCAGAATTTCAGGGTAAGGAAAAACACTGTACTTTATATGTCGTTGTCATCTTATATTCTAATACTGAAGTCAGACAAATTTTGGATACTTAATCCAGTGATTGGAGCTGTGAACAGGCAAGAGAGATCTTTCTACAAACCTGAAAAGGGCTCTAAATTTGCAGAAAAATGTGAAATCCCCCCAAAACAGGTGGCTTAAAAATAATGAAAATGATAAAAGGAGTGCCTGCAGTTTTAAGCAAGGGATTCCCTCAGAGGCTGTTGCTAGGCAACCACAGCATTCCAAGGGTGGGTTTCAGTGAGTAAAAGGGAGGGAGCAGGGCCCTTTCCAGGCCTATTTTGGCCTTTGAGTGAGGATTTCTTGGGGACAGGCTAGGATTTTCAGCTTCAGAAATTCCTGGAGATTTTGTGGTGGACTTTGAGGAGGGAGGGAAGAGGCTTCAGACAAATATAATGTCATAGAATCCAGACATTTTCTCCATGGGGTCAGATGTTTGTCATAGGGTTGCCAGGTCCTTCCTAGTCCCCACACTGGGAGACTGGGGGGGGGGCATTTTGGGAGAGGGTGGGGACGTCCCCAACATGATGTCACACAAAAGTGACATCATCACATTGGGGACTGGTGCCCTGCCCCCTTACACCTGTTCTCTAAGCAGCAAATTTGCCTCTTAGAGTTCAGGCCCCCTTCCACTTCTTGCCCAAAGCATTTTATAGGGTCCCTTTAGATGCTTTGGGCAAGAAGTGGGGGCTGCGCACACCCGTTTTCCAAGCAGTGAATTCGTTGCTCAGAGGTCAGGTGCATGTGCCCCCCCACTTCTTGCCCAAAGTATTTAAAGGGTCCCTTTAAATGCTTTTGCCAGGGTGTGTGTGCTGAACTCCAAGTGGTGAATCCGCTGCTTGGAGTTCAGGTGTGCGGCCAGCAGCCACCCCTCTCCCTCCCCTCTTGTAAGTAAGGGCCCTCCAGCTGGTCAGCAGGCCATGTGCTCCCACTGATCAGCTGGAGGGCCCTTTAAATCTCACAGGAAGGGAGGGAGAGGAGTGGCTGCTGTTGAGGGTGGGGCTTAGGGGCAGGGCTTCCCCTACTGGCTAGCTGGCCAGTAGTGGGCAGTAACCTGTCAAATCAGGGGATCCCCGCCCCCACCTGGGGACTGGCATCCATAGTCTGTCATCTGGAGTTCAGTTGTAATTCTGAGAGATCTCTGTGTCCTCCCTGGAGGTTGGCAACCTTAGGCCTGGCAGCAACCTTTGGGTGCCTTGATACCACTTGGCTTGCATGATTCAGCTGGGCCTGGCTACTTGCTGCTGTTGAACAGCAGTCACTCTTGCCGCACTATGAAAGCCAGTGTAGTGTAGTAATTAAAGCTTCCTAGTAGGGTCTGGTGACCCAGGTTCAACTCCCCATCTTGCTGTTTTTTTGGACAAGTCACATATGTTCAGCCTACCTCCCAAGGTTGTTTTGTGGATAAAAAGGAGGAGAAGGAAATAATGTAAACTGCTTAAGTCCCTACTCTGGAGAGAGGTGTGGTATAAAATAAATAAATAAATAAAGTTGAAGGCAGGAGGCAGATAAAAGGTAGTTGGTGAATGAATGAAAAGAAGAAAATAAGGCAGGAAAAGGGGAGGGTTGGGCAGGAAATAAGGTTACCAACTCCAGGTTAGGAAATTCCTGGAGATTGGGAGGGAGCCTGGGGAAGGTGGGGTTTGTGGAGGGGAGAGACCTCAGAGGGGTATAATACCATAGACTCCACCCTTCAGAGCAGCCATTTCCTCCATGGGAACAAGGGTTGCCAGCCTACAGGTGGGGGCTGGAGATCACCCATAATTACAGCTTCTTTCTAGATGAGAGATCAGTTCCCCTGGAGAAAATGCCATCTTTAGAGGAAGGACTCTATGCATTATACTCTACTGAGGTCTCTTCCATCCCCAGACCTCACCCTTCCAAGGCTCCACCCCCAGATATCCAGGAATTTCCCAATCTGGAGCTGGCAACCCTGAGGGGAACTGATCTCTGTAGTTGGGAGATCTTTTGTAATTCTGGGAGATCTTCAGGCACCATCTGGAGGTTGGTAACCCAAGAAGAGAAGGAAGTGGGGAAAAGGGGAGAGCCTATGGGGATTTTCAGGAAAGGGGAGGAGGAAATGAGATGCATCCTGCAAGTACTTGTGGGTTCCCACTTGTATAGTCTAATATTAAAATGTGGCCCCTTCTGAGAATACTTAAATCCAGAGATTGGAGCAGTGAACGGACAAGATGGATCTTTTAACAAACCTGAAAAATGCCTCAGGTTTGTAGAAAAACCCGAAATCTAAAAAAAACAAAGTGGTTTAATAAACAGATGCCTTCAGTGGATAAACAGATGCCTTCAGTGGATGTTGCTAGGCAACCACAACAGTTTGGCCAGCCTTCGTTTCTGTCAGTAAAAGGCAGGGCCCTTTCCAGAGCTGTTTTGGCCTTTGAGGGAGGAATCTTGGGGCCAGGTCTGTCAGCAACCACCAGGCAGCTTGATGCCACCCAAATGGCATTATTCACTGTTCAACAGCAGCCATCCCAGAAAAGCCAATGCACTGTAGTGGTTAGAATTTCAAACTGGGGCCTTGAATCCCCATTCTAGCCCTTTAACTCACTGGGTGACCTTGGGCCAGTTACACATTCTCAGCCTAACCTACTTCACAGCATTGTTGTGAGGATAACATGTTGGAGAGGAGAATGATGTAAGCTGCATTTGGGTACTAGGGCTGCCAAGCCGCGGCGGGGGATTCGTGCGTCTTCTCAGGATCCCTGCCGCGGGGGACAGAGATATGCGTTGCACCGCCGTCTCCAGGATGTGACGCTATGCGTCACTCTGGCAACGGGACTCCAAACAGCCCCGTTGCCAGAGCAACACGTAGCGTCACATCCTGGCGACGGCGGTGCAACGCGTATCGCTGTCCCCCGCAGCAGGGATCCTGTGAAGACGCATGGATCCCCCACTGCGGCTTGGCAGTCCTATTGGGTACCCATTGTAAGGCAAGATATAAATGAAATAAATAAGATGGGGGGCAGATAAAAGGTAGATTGGTGAGTGGGTGTGAAGGAAGCAGAGAAAGGTGCAGGCATGGGAGTTGCTAGGAGGAAGGAAGGAAGAGATAATGTGGGGAGGGAGTGCAGGAAAAAGTGAGATGACCCCTGCAAGTCCTTGCAGGTTCCTCCCAGTGCAAATGGGACCAGTTTGGCTGGCACTGTACAACTGAGCCATTGTTTTCCTGGGGAAAGGCTTCAAGGGGGAGGGGAAGATGGGGTCAGATAAAGGTAGATAGGCTTGTGAATGGAAATGAGAGAAGGCAGCAGGAAAGGACTAGGGCTTAAGGTTTTCAGGAGAGGGAAGGAGGATGTAGTGAGGGAGGGGAAAATGAGAGATGTCCCCCTCAGGTCCTTGTGGGTCCCCCATTTGTGTCTATGTATATAGGTGTATATATCTCGATTGTTCAGACTGATTGACTCCATCAGAGGATATCAAAATTGTTCGTTGAAGGCACATCGCCTAGAACCCTGATAATTTGTAGCACATTTTGTCCAAGACACTGATTCCTAAAAAAGTATGAAAATGAGACATCTGCATAGCTCTCGTTCAAAATGACAGACTCCGAGGTGTATACCAGAATGGTTAAAGTACTTCCACATGAAACAGTCACTCCAGTCTTGTCCACCTACACTGGCTTCCAGTTTGCTTCTGTACTCAATTCAGGGTGACCTTTAAAGCCCTGTATGGCCTGGGACCTTCTCCCACACAAACCTACAAGCTCACTCCAGTCATCCTCGGAGTCCTTGCTTTGGTTGCCCCCGCCATCTAGGGCTGGATGGTTGGTGACCCGAAAAAGGGCCTTATGCATCATGGCACAAAAACCTTAGAACTCCCTCCCCATGGAGATTCATCTGTCTCTTTCTATTGGTAACTTTCACCAGCAGGTGAAGATTTTTAAAATTTCATCTGGTGTATCTCCAATAATGGTTATCAGCCCTCCTTTAAGTGTTGTTTATTTATATAGTCAAAAACATAACATTCAATTCAATTTTTATATTTTTGACTGTATTTTGTTTTGGGTTTTAAATTTAATTTTATATTTTAACTGTATTTTAACTTATAAAAGGCAAAATCTAGGAGATAAACAGTGTAATCCTAAGCAGTGTTATGCCCTTCAAAGGGCTTAAAGAAGTGTAAACTCTGCTTTTACTGCACTGAAAGCTTGCTGTATAATAAAGGTAAAGGTAAAGGTTCCCTTGCTCGAAAGCCAGTCGAGTCTGAGGCGTGCCCCAAGTTTACAAAAAAAAATCTCTTTAGCTTCCGTGTGGCCCCAGTTGGCGCATTTAGCTATATGCACATGGGGGCCCTAAACACCAAGGCACACGGAACGCTGTTACCTTCCCACCGAAGTGGTACCTATTTATCTACTTGCAATTATAGTGGGAAGCATAACAGACAAATCAAGCCAAGCAGTGAGATAAAATATATCTCCTGCATGAATCATCCTGGAGAGGGGATGAGAGGCTTCTAGTACCAGTGAGGATACTACATAGCCAGTATTCTGTAGTGGTTAGAGTGTCAGACTAGAACTACATTGACCCCGGTTCAAGCCCCCGCTCAGCCATTCATTGTGAGACTAGTCCAAGGTGGCTCAGTTTAACCTAGCTGTGATAGTAAAATGGAGTAAGATAGCACACTTAACCACTACACCAAACATGTGGCTAATAGTATATAGATTCCCAAGTTCCTATATAAGCCAAGTACCATATCTTAAAAAAAACCCCTCCCAAAGTACAAAAACCTAGATGCTAAGTAATCCCTGGAGGAAGGGTGGGATAAAACTGTAGTAGATAAATATCTATACAAGGTATAAGCTTTGGTGTGCGAGCAGACATCTTCATTTACATTGAAGCAAAAAAAAAATCATTAAGAAAGTAATTACCTTTACACAAAGCCAATAGCTTCCAGTACCTCTTTACTGAGGTATCATACTTTGTTGGCCTTAAAGGTGCCCCTGGAGCTGAACTGTGTTCTGCTGCTTCAGACCAACGTGTCTACCCACCTGAATAAATATCTACATTTGCAGAATGCACGCTTTGTTTAACTTGCACATTATATACCTAGAACCAAACAGTGAAGGGTTGAAATAATTTTACCGTATTTTTGTTTTTATATTCATAACTGATTAGTCAAAGTTTAAAGTCAATTTACATGTTGGAGTTTGTTACCGTAGATGACCATTGTCCTGCCGACATATTTGCTGTGGGATTTGAAGAAATGGTGGAATTAAATGCTGGAAATATTGTGAATGCAAGGTATGTCCACCTGGAGTTGTCAAATTGCATACTTGTCATAACCCGCTGACACAGCTGCATATAATTTGTGCAGCAATGTATAAATAACAAACATTTTTTATTATTACTATGAACAGACCATCAATGGTCAAGTGCTACAGATACAGGTTTTGCCATCACCTAACATCATCAGTTCAAACACAATATGTTTCAACAGACATAGTTCACATAGTTGGCTGAGAAGTCCTTAAGTGCACAGTAATCATGATTCTAACAGCCTTCTGACAGTTTCTGCACCTTTCCAAGGTTGATTTAGTGCTGGTGGGTTTGTAGAATTAACCCTTGGGTATTCATACATTGTATTACTATAATTGAATGTGTACAGAGTGATGGTTTTGTCTGTACTGATTTGGTAGGATTGGGTCAGAAGTGCAGTTGGTTCAAAGGCTTAGAGAGAAAACTATCCTATTAATGACAGTTAATGATTACTTTTTTAAAATACTGTATTTAATTTTAAAAAATACTGTATAGGAATAATCAGTTTTCTTGGTATGATCTATTTATTTATATATTTATTTACGTACAGAATTGATATGCTCAAGCATCTCAGGACTCAAAGTGGGGGGAAAACAATTGTACAAAATGATAAATTTGATTAAAACAACAGATATAGAAAACATTAAAATATTTAAAACAAAGACTCAACTAGATATTACACTTTGGGTGTGTTTTAAACCCTGACCACTGATGTTCATTCGTGTATGAGCCGGCGCATAGATCTGCTAAAAGGTTGTTGTTGTTGTTTTAAGTGCTATGAATTACTGTGATCTCATAACTTGCAAGACTTTATATGTGCAGTGACAGAATGAAATGAAAATGCACTTTTTCTGGAATCTCTATTGGAACAATTATTGTCTAACCAGTACTGGGGACTGTATAGGGATACTTAAATGGAACTCATTTAAGAACATAAGAACATAAGCTTGCTGTTTCCCCTCCCCCCTCGCCCAATGCACTTGTGGTGGTTAACATGTATCTGGAATTCTGTGTGTGTGGGGGGGAAGAATTGCTTGGGAGCATTTTGAATTGGGAAAATGGCAGGGAGGGAAAACAGTACCCTCCCCCCTTTTCCTGCTGCTTCTCTGTTCTCATTTTCTAGCAAAGCTCGGGGGTGTGTATGTTCATTAACGAATTGGCCTCCAGGCTTAAAACCTGTAACATTGACTATGGCCCTAAATTGGGTAGTCATTTGCAATCAACAGTTTTTTTGTTTTTTTTAAAAAAATATTAAGAAAACATTTGAACACAGCAACATATCTTAAAATGCATAGTAACTAGTATCAATTTGTGGGAGAAAAATGGCACAAACCTGCAACTTGTAAGGTAAACATAACTCAACTAAAACACAGCATACTTAATTTGACTGTATTTCCAAAGTATAAACTCCATATTCAAGATCTATAAATAAATGAATGATGATTGATGGAATGAGCACAAAAAGCCTTACTCGTAGCTAGATATGTATTAATTAGGCTTAGTGAAGGGGTTAGAATTGCTTTACAGATGAACTTTTGTTTCTCCCTTCATGACTGGGGGAATGGTGGTTAACGGTGCCATCTTAAGCAGGTCTACTCAGAATCCTACTCAGATCTATTCAATGGAGCTTGCTCCCAAAAAAGTGTCCTTAGGATCGCACTGTTAATGATCCAGTTTTGTAGCCTTTCCCACAGAACTGGCATATCCATTTCCCAGTGTGATGTTAACTCCATGGGAAAGACCCAAACAGTCTCTGCTAGGGTTTCCAGCCCAAGGTTCTTGACAAAATGGTGTTGTGTGATGCCATTTCTAGCTGCATAATAAGTGCAGTCACCACATTGTGTGATGCTCTAGGATTTCTCCAAAACTCTATGGAAAAGTCATAGAAGTCACAGAAATTCTTAGAGCATCATGTGATGTAATGATATTGCTTCCCAGTTTACAGTGCTTATACCTCCATGTAGCACTGGTGTTTCCATGTAATGGCATAAAGTGTGATGTAACCCTCTGATTTTTTTCCCCCTGCAGTTTTGCAACCCACATAAATAACCCCAAAAGTTCTTTCTGCCAAAGACCATTTAATATTTCCTCCTGCTGTAAACACAGCTGAATTAAAACTCTTTTTTTTTTTGTTCATTGTATTTGTTGTAGCACAACTAATAGGAAGATGTGGGGAGAACAACTTCAGAAAGCTCTTTCCAGGACACATCGATACATTCTGTTGACATCAGCACAGCTTGTTGGTGTTTGTCTTTTCATCTTTGTACGACCTTATCATGTCCCCTTCATCAGGTACATAGTGTTTCTGTGATTATAAATGATGCCTTTGACATGACATTGGGAGCAAATATAGGCTTTCTTCCTGGAAATTCTAATTTTGTAAAATCATTATTTTTAAAAAAGTCTTTTTTGAATCCTGGATTAAATCAACTGGTATAAATTCCAGTGATGGTTCTTTTCATCAGTGGAGAACAAAATAACTGCTACATGCTACAGGATATATTGTCAGTATCATTTAACATAAATCATTTAACATAACATAGCCGCCCTGAGCCCGTTTGCGGGGAGGGCAGGGTAAAAATGTTAAAAATAAAAAATAAATAAATTAGTTGTGATTTTTGTAGCAAGTTCCTAGTCTTCTGGATACAGCATTAGAGATGATCTTTTATAGTTTTTTCACAAAATGCAGGCTGTTTTATATGCATCCTGGGTGTTAGGTCTTATATGTAACAGGAAACAGGACCAAGTCCAGAATTTCCCACTTTCTTCCTTGATATATATTTGGGACTTGTTGCATGTGCCCGCCCCCAGGCTCCTTACTGCCGGAGCTCCGCTCCTGTGCGCTCCCACAGGAAATGACCCCTGTGTGTGACAGAGGATGTGTAAGCTACTCAGACGCCTTCCTTCTACACATCCAAGATCTTGTTCAGTGAGGGAAGTGGGAGGTACATGAGTTCCTCTTGCATGGGGCATCCCACTAGCATAGAAAAAAGATATGTTAGTAGATCACACGTGCTGTAGCTTCACATGCAGACATGTTTTACCTCCCATAATCAATGGTTTAGGGTGCAAGCTATCAAGCACAATTCCATTAGTTTACCTTTAATTAATTTCCATTAACTGTGCTTGGTGAATTGCTCCCTTATCATTACATCTTGCTTGAATACTTCATTCCCCTGAGAACTGATCTTTTTACAAGGCCATTGCAATGAATGCCCTGTTGAACTTGGTTCATTCATTTCAGTACAGCTTTCTCAAGAGCGCTGTGCCAGGGGAGTTCTGCATATGTTGTAAATACTATTGCAAAAAACACAAAAAGAAGCTGCCACACAGAGCGCTGCAAAGTGTAAATATATTAACACATACAAGTGTCACAGTATATCAAAGTAGATAAATATTGTTCAAAGAGTCCTTTTCCAAGAATCATAAGAAAACATTGACGAAATTCCCCGGAGTATGCTTCCGTTTCGTACTGTACTTCTTCTGAACGTAGTCAGGTAAACAAAGTTTGTGTCCCCCAATTATTCATTCATTATGGATTGCAATCATTCAGAGAAATACATTCAAGATGGTCTTCATCCATTGTTCTAAATAACTCTAAAGACGAGCATTCTGTTATGATTCTTAGAAAAGGACTCTTTGAACAATATTTATCTACTTTGATATACTGTGACATTTGTATGTGTTAATATATTTACACTTTGCAGCGCTCTGTGTGGCAGCTTCTTTTTGTGTTTTTTTGCAAGCTTCTTGTAGCTGTGACCTTCACTTTTTGTTGTTATGTTGTAAATACGGCAGTGATTTCTCTTTACCTTCCTGTAAGGAGATTGTTTTTGGCTTTTGGTGTTCTCCCTCTGTCTAGAGATGTTGCCGTGGACACAGTGAAGACAGGAATGGGAGGGAAGGCTGGGAATAAAGGAGCGGTGGCCATCCGTTTCCAGATTCACAGCACCAGTTTATGCTTCATATGCAGTCACTTGACAGCTGGGCAGTCTCAAGTGAAAGAACGCAATGAGGACTATAAAGAGATCACACAGAAACTGAACTTTCCAACGGTGAGACTTACGGAAGGGTTATATGATGGCTACAGAAACTTTGATTCGTGGATGTTTTCAGGGTGAAAGTGGGGTGTGATAGTCAACATGAACTTTTATTTGAAAGGATTGCAGGTAGCTCTGTTGGTCCAGCCAGGTAAAGGGTTATGGAGAACTCAAAGCCTGGACACTGTTTTGTGAGAGTTGGGCTAATAAGAATCATGGCAAAGTTTTGAATTTTTTTCTTAGGGCCAACAGGACTACTTAACAGACTTTGGTGGCAATGTCTGTTTCTGAGATGTCCCTGGTCTTGCATCTTGATGGGAAAGACTGCCCTGGATCCTGGGCTTCTAAAGAGATCGTAGTATGGCTGCATACCATACTGGCTTTGTGGCCTGGGACTCTCACACCTACAAACTTTCTCCACCCAAATGAGAGCCTGTATTGCATCTCCAGTTGTCAGCCTGGGATTTGTTAGTTGGTTCATAATTTAGGACTGGCAGTACTGCTTCTGACGGAGCTGGGGTGTTTTTGCTGGCTGTTCCTTTTCTGTGGAATGGCTTCCCTGAGAAAAGTTTGAGAAAGGTCCCAGGCAGTGTTCCCTCTAAGCTGAGTTAGTATGAGCTAGCCCACAGATTTTTAGCCTCCAGCTCACACATTTTTGTCTTAGCTCAGGAAGGATGGCTCCAGAGCAAACTAACTTATGCAGTAGCCAGATTCCTCGCTCACAACTTTAATGCCAGTAGCTCACAAAATAGAATTTTTGCTCACAAGACTCCCCAGCTTAGAGGGAACATTCAGCCACGCAAAGATTTCAGAAACTTTGTAAACCGAAGCTATTCCAGTGTGCTTTTAATGACCCTTAATTAAAGGCCACTTAGTTGATGGGTAGTAAGTAAGGCTGATTTTTGTATTTTTCTGTTCTTCTTTTCCCCTGCCGTTTAAAATATAATGTAGCTTTAATGATGTAAGTTGCTTTGAGTCCCATAAATTAGAAATAAAGTGGGATACAAATATTTTAAATAGATAATATGTTTTTAATTTATGTTTGTTTTTGCAAAGAAGTTATTTAAATTGAAGAAATGGCAGTTGTCTGGAAACAAGAGCTTGATGATTGAAAATAGAGTGATCTTTGTTACTGCTGGTAGTATTTTTATGTATTCTTTCTTCTTGCTAAAATTGTGTCCCTGCAAGTGTATAGGTGGTGCTTTTCACTTTCATTTATTCCTGTGCTTCCATATCAGTAGTAGCACATATTTTTCCAGTAGACAATATCTATTAATTAAAATAGAATTTCTATCTGCCCTTGAGTTATCTTGGATACATGAATCAATGATTACGTTAGGTTATTAGATAGTGTTTCTGTATTAGATATAAAAATGGTGGGCTGTGTCTATTTAGTCTGTGAAGGCCTGTGCATGGACTGGATGATGAAATTTCCAGTAGCTCTCTAAGATACAGTGAAGTCTCAAGACTGTTGCTTAGCGTGTGTTTGAAATGTAGTTTTGTTTCTTCTAAACAGGGAAGAAACATGTTTTCCCATGACTATGTGTTCTGGTGTGGCGACTTTAACTATCGCATTGATCTGACTTATGAAGAGGTATTTTATTTTCTCAAACGACAAGACTGGAAGACTCTCTTGGAATTTGATCAGTTGCAGCAGCAGAAATCCAGTGGAAAAGTAAGGGTAGTGGTGCTGTTTGCTGTTACTTTCAAACTGACACGTGTCCAGAAGACCTCATTTAAACTGTGAAGGAATGTCTTCTGAGAACTAGTAATCCCGGGGCCCATGTGCACAGATAGATGTTTGTGTGGTGTTTAAATTTATATCCAGCCTTTCTCTTGAAGTAGAGCCCAGGGCAGGTTACATTCATATGAATGAAAATGAATATAAAATAATAGTAAAACTTTTAAAAGTGCTTCTAACAGTCCCTTGCTTGAAAGCAAAAGCCACCTTTTGAAGTATGGGAGTATTGAAACATTAATTATTTATTTTTCAATCACTTCTTCCTCACCTTTCTATCAAATATTACTGTGAAGGTGACTAACAAGGCTAACCATAATCTAAAACCAGCAGCATTAATGAAAACAGCACAAATGGCAAAATTATAATAAAATGGCCCTGACGATCAAAGAACAGTAATAAAAGTGGCAAACACCAATCTAAGAACAAAAAGATTACAACCATCAGCTATAAAAGCAAGTAAACACAGATTCAACAGTAAAACTCAGTAAAAGTAATTACATTCCACTAACTCATTGTGGCTTCTCTGTTTGAGTAGCTTACAGAAGTGTAAGCCTCAGCAAAAGCTGGCTGGATGAAGGCAACCTCAAGCGCATGCAGTGTGGCTTTACTGGACCAGGGCTAGTGTCTGTGCTTTTATCCATTGCAAAGATGTTATAATAATCAAATAGGCAGTATATTGCTGTCGCTAGGATATGCCATCATTATCTTTGATTTGTTTCATAGATTTTTAAGGATTTTCATGAAGGAACTATTAATTTTGGTCCAACATATAAATATGATGTTGGTTCCGAGGCTTACGATACAAGTGATAAATGTAGAACACCAGCCTGGACTGACAGAGTACTTTGGTGGAGGAAGAAACTTCCTATTGATAAAACAGGTTGGTAAGAGCTTTATGGTTTTATGATAGAAAAAGTCATGGGTCATAAAAATTCCAGGAGAAGAGGTATGTTTAATGTCTCAGTTCTGAACACTCTTGGGACCAGGGATTGTGGATAGAACTATCTGTTATGCTTGACCTGAGGTTGTAGGGTCAAATGGAGCCCCCCCCCCAAGTGGAGTTTTTGTTCCTCTCTATTTATGCCATACTCATTTCTCTTATAAGTGATTGAGTTGTGCCTTTTTCCTACCCCCGTTTTGTATTGTTGGCTGCCACAGGCTGCAGTGGAGAAGCTGGGGAAATAACTCAGCTGTCTGAAATGTTACAAGAAGAGAGGGGAGAACTATCTTCAGTGGCAATATGTGCTAAGCATCATGGCTAGTTCTGTCCTGAATCTTTTTGCAATTATACGTGCAGCTTTTGGAGACCTACTGTGAGGACCAGCCAACATGTTCAGATCTCCAAGTGGGCTGATCACAAGCTGGAGAGTCTGATTCCTACCAAGGAAATGACATGGAGGGGAATTTTAACTCCTCCTGCCGCAGCTCTGTGATTGCAGTCCAAATTGGGCCACTCCCTCCTGCTTTTACTATTAAAATATACTTTGGGAGCCTGATCAGGGAATCCCCAATATAAATTGCAGTTTGGCTGTGCAGTCACCAGACTGTAAGCCTTGTGTGGGAGAAACTGAAGTTCAACTCACCTAATGAAGATTACATGGTAGCCACATGGTAGCCACATGCTGGTCACTAACTCTCAGCTGCTGTAGCCTCACAGAGTTGTTATGAGATTAAAATGCTTCTCTGAGCTTCTTAGAGAAAGAGCAGGATACAGATACTTGGTTGTTTTGGTATTCACACGCAAACTCCTCTGTGGCCACCAAAGTTGATTCAAACAGGGAGCTGTTCCATTAAATTCAGTGTTGACAGTAGCTCTGTGTATACATCCTTCTACATATAGAGTTAGCCTGACATTTAAGCTAACTGAGCAGTCTCTGTTTACTCAGGGAGATTTGTGTGCAAATTGGAGCCTTGAGGGGTTTTGCATCACAGTGAGCGTCTAGAGAGTCTAGCACTGGAATTATCCATCATTCTGTGTCTAATTGGCCTCAGAGTACTCTTTTCTTGTACTTTCACTAGATTTACTCATCTGTTTAAATAGGTGCCAATTCAGCATCTCCTGCTCTCAGTAATCTTGATTAAATAATCCATAGAAAGCCTGTTCCTAAATCTGTTGAGTTGAGTAACGGAATGGGAAAGCCATCCTAGTTCCCTTTATGGAACACGGCACCAAAATTTGGCATACTCATGTTTGAGTCATTACATAGAAGTATGGTCATAAAAGAATTCTTATTTTTACCATAATTGTCTTGCATTTTATTGCCTGAATAACAGCATTTAGTATGTTGTGTTCTTCCTGACTTTTCAGTGTCACTGTCACATTGTGTAAGTCATTATGCAGGCAAAATGAATGACACATTATTTTCGTGATGGTTTGCCTTAATTATTATAGACTCTGAATGTGAACTTTATTCTTTTTTTATAAAGCTGGAGAGATCAGTCTGCTAGACACTGATTTTAATGTGGAAACCAAAATCAGACCTATTTGGTCCCCTGGTGCTTTAATGTATTATGGAAGAGCTGAGCTCCAGGCAAGCGATCACAGGTAACATTGTCTAAAGTGGAGCATGCTCTTTCTGAAGCAGTGGTGATGTTGTTATATTGGCTTATCCTAACCCTTTTCAGTGTTGTTGCACAACAGTGGGGGATAGTATACCACCATAGCTTGGTGGTAGGGCACATGCTTTGACTGTAGAAGGTTCCAGCATATAGTTTGCAAAGCCAAGCAAGAAAAACTACATGTTATGTGGGTCTGAGTGATTTTTAAATAGCTCATACTGTGCATCTAATTTTAAATGGCATATCAACATGTGCTCCCTCTCATTCATTCTAGATCCCCTACAATCCTGACTATCTTGTCTCTTACCTCTCCTTAACTATTTCTTTCTATCTATCTAGTGCTATCACCTTAAGCAGAAATTAGGACCCCAAAATATTTTAAAAGACCTTACTCAGGATTATTCCTCTTATATTTGATTATTGCACGTATGAATTTTGCCACTGAAAGGATGACATGATCATTCATATCTGATAGTAACCATGACATCTGGACTTGCATATTTAGCTATTCTGTATCTTTAAGTAAAGGAGTGACTAAATTAGCCCTCAGCTCATTGACTATAGGGCACTCCATAATCATATGTTCGATGGTTTCGATGTTATCATATGAGCACCTGCACGTTCTGTTAGAGTATGATACTGAGGGAACCACTGAGGGAAGAACGTTCACTCTTGCCAAAGTAAAAGCTCTTGTTAGTTTTGGGACTGTCAAATGATAAAAATATTTCAGCAGTTGCATTGGGATCTCCCCTACAATCATGACTACTTTGTCTCTTACCTCTCCTTATCGCTCCTTAACTGCTTCTTTCTCTGCATAAAATGTAGGCCTGTTTTAGCTATTGTGGAAGTGGAAGTCCAAGAGGTTGATGCAGCTGCCCGGGAACGTGTTTTCCAGGAAGTATCTTCCTTCCAAGGACCTCTGGATGCCACCGTAGTGGTGACTTTGTTGACTCCATCCCCCGAAGAGACAGATGAATTTCCTGAGGATTTGCGCACTGAACTTATGCAGATATTTGAGAGATATGGCACTGTTGTGCTTGTTAGGTAAAAGATTGTTCATATTTAAAAAAACTAGTAAAAATTGAATTAATGCCCCAGGATTCAATGTGGATTAAATTTAGATAGCATTATTTATTATAAAATATTTCCATGTAATAATAGCCTAGTAATAATTATTAGAAAGAGACCCGCAAGAAACTTGCGGGATGGTTATCCTATTCCTCACGCCTTTGCTTCCTCATGTCTCCCCCTAC